GTTTGGGAGACAAGCTATTTCACTCGTGATTGGAGGCTAGCTATAGGAGGAAGCCTCTCTGCAGAAACAAAGTTTGGCAGATCTGCGACAGCTGACTAGCTTGAATAAGATGCCCTTCAGTTTTTAGGGTAAGGATTTTAGAAAAAAGTATCATCTTATTGTCGGAAAAATACGGTATGTGCTCCTGAGGTATGGTGTAGGCATAACTGAAGTCTTCCGCTGGTCTAGAACTTTAACAAGAGTGTGAATTCATGAGAAACAGCCCCAGAATCTGTTTCACTTGCTAAAAGATTTATTCTGGAAACTTATAAGAATTATCTTTGCAGATTATTTTCCCTACCATACCAACTTTAGAGGGAGGGAGCAAAGGCATAACACTGCGCTCTAGAAGGCCACCTCTTATTTTTGAAATTATGCTGGGAAGGCATAACTTCAGAATATGTAGTGGCATGTAGAAGACAATTCTTCATAGAATTCTTTCTGGCCAAGTGTTCTATAATTTACTACATTACAAAGGAAAAAATAAAGCTAATTTCAACATAACTGTGGCTGTTCCATAATTTAATAGAAGCATGCTGTAGCGCTGAAATCTCTGATTCCCAAAATGCCAACAACAGTTGCTTCTTAAAGTTTCCCATTTTATTTTCCAAATGCAAATTAAAAATATTATATGGTTTATTAGTTACATGTTCTTTGCCTTTAAAAATCAATTAAAAAAACCGACCATTCTCCATGGCATAATAAGGCTATTATGTAACTATCACTGTGTTGGGAAGGGGGTGGCTACAGGCACTTCATTTCACCTCATCATTTCTTTTAGCTTAAATATTATGCCACATACTGATTAATACCAGACCAATAAAATCATCTTAGCAATCTGGTTAGAGTCTTTTGTCTACCCAGATGGCCTGCAACGTTAATGTGTGACAATTTCAACAATGAACTAGGACTGTTTTATGAAACCAACATTTGTTCCACTCCTTTTGCGTTTTAGGCTCCAAATTTTGACACAGATGGTATAAATTACTAAAAAAAAAAAAGTGTTCATTTAGAAAGCTTAAATATGCGGTTTTACTTCAACCATCAGAATCTTTTACATTTGCAATTCAGTCATTTGCTAATAATTCCTAATAATTATGGTCTGTAAAATATTTCCCCAATTCTGTAGCATTTAAAAAATCCAGCAGTTCTCTAAGTTGATATATTAATGCTTAAAAAAAAGAAAAGACTAAAGAAAAAGACTAATTTTATATCTAAAACAATCCTACACCCAATACTCCGTACCTTTAAAAAAATATTGCAATGAAAAAGAGAGAGAAAGAGATGGTTTCTCCTTTGGAAGGCAAAACAATATAAGAATAAAATAAATAATACATAATAATCTTCTAGCCATGTTTTTATTTGTAACCTATCTATTGCTTGATCTTTAGAAAAGATAATGAATACTGGAGCAGAAACAGATGTTGCATGCAAATACACATAAGAAAAGAAAATCCGATCAGCCACATTTCTTCTTTCGAAGAATGACTTTTAGAGTCCACAAGTTTCTTCTAGAAAAGAATGAACTACCTTTACTGGGGAGAAAAAAGAGGTAAAATGTTTTTAGATGCATTTTCAGGTAATATTGGTTGACCGTACCATGAGTAAAAGAGAAAGGAAAAATAAATGGGCAAAAGAAAGTGCCAGCGCTTAGCGTTATTTTCAGTGAACATATGTGTATTTCAGTGTTATACCATTTTTAGTCTCCTGCACACTAGTTATGTTAATGCTTGGTGTTTACACTGAGAAATCATATTCATAGTGAGAATGAACATTCCAGGCAAGTTAGATTTCATATTTGCACTATAAAGCAACAGATGCTTAAAGCTGTGTCAGATGACCTGTGGGCAGGAGCACCTGCCCATAAGTTGGGAAGGGACCAATGGTTGACAGTACAATTTCCCAGTACAAATTAGCACTGTATTACTATGGCCAGTTGTATTTACACGACCATTGTTTTGGAGATTCTGGAAGGTGACATCCTTCTTCCAGGATGTCAACAGTACAAACCAATAAAAGACAATAAAGAGAAGACTTTTGTAGAAGATGGTTTTGTATTACTGTACAAAATTGAATTACAAATATCTGTCACATTCAGAATTTAGAGCAAAACAGGGCAACCAATTCTTTGTTGACCCTTCGTCTCACCTCAGTAAAGATCAAAAGAACACAAGGAAGAAAAGTGCCAGAAGAGCAAACAGCTTCAGATAAGTCAGGAAGCTGACACAGGTAAGTTTCTATTATTCCCATTTTCCAGATGAGAACCAAGCTGGAGAGTGAATATACTTGAATTTGTATCTTAAGATTGTATCCCAATTTAAAAACCTTCACTCCCTCAGCCTCAACTTATCATGCTGAAATAATTTTGTATAAACCAAATCTTTCTGTCCTAGATAAATCCTTTCTAAAATACAATTTATTTGGATATGAGCTTTGAAAACACAGTCTTGTTCTGCTAGATCTGCCAAAAGAGAAATGCATTTCAGATTTGCTTTCTACTAGAATCAATCACTCTGTACAATTAAGCTGGGGGTTGCACCATTTTTGCTGTTATGAGCTAAAATATATTGATATCTGTCTCTTATACAATGACACAAATTAAGTTGAGGGGCCATATGCCTAAATGTCACCAATGGGAAAATATCAATTACTCTTTTTGAAAGATACCTTAGTTTTTGAAAACTATAAGGCACTGTTTCAAATGCATTGGGAGAATATATTAATCAATGTTTTGCATGGTGCAATCAATAACACCCTTATGTTTAAGTTTTAGCTCTCTTTTACAATAAATATTGATATATTACAAACTATGTAAAAATTTTCATTGGACTTTTGTTTGCAGTATGCACTGTATTCATTCGGCAAATAAGTGAACTAAATATTGTTTGTTGCAAAACAGATGTCAAATAAAATTATGCCATATGTGCTATTAAACACTTTCCTTACTTTTTTTTAACAGTGAAAAGCAAGATGCAGTTTCAAAACTGAATGTATTTGGCTTTCCAAGGATTTGAAGCATGAAAGCAACATTTCTGAATATTTTTAAAACCTGCTGTGCATCATGTAATCCAGTTTTGCATGTTAAATCTGTTTTTAAGGTTATCTTCAAAGTACATTCAATGAAAAGTCCCAACAATCTTTACAAAAGAAACAGAGCAATCATTTTTGAATGTAAGCTGCTTGGACTAGTATCTGTGAATGAGAAATGATGTACCTCTGTTTATTTGTGGTTACTAAATGATAGTCTGTAATACAAATTGTATACAATGGTACATACACAAAAGAATTCTTGATGATTCTTTCCTCAAAAGATTCATGTAAAGGCAAGTAACATGGCCACATTTTCTAACATAGTAGATATTTGTGTTGTGTAACTTTGGGTCAATAAACACATAGTTGTGTTTCTTGACCCACAGTTACAGCTGCAAAGTGTGGCAAAAAAGATGGTGGCCGTGATGGGTGTAATCAAAGCTCTACCTGTTTTTTATGTGGGTCACATGTGCAACCCACATAAAATATAAGCAGAGCTTCCATCACACCACTGTGGCTGACATCTTGACTTTTTTGACCGTGCCCTGTGCACACCACTGCTTACAAGCCAACCACAGTTGTGTAGTCCAACTTGAAAATCTTCACAAGAAGCAAAATAGTGCAAGGTACATCCGAAAGCTCTAAAACACAGTTCATTATACAAAATAAGGTGCTAAAAGTTGCACAGTGGAACCAAAGATATTGTGACAAAAGTTCTGACACGAAGACATAAAAAAAAAACAACCATCAAAAAGCACACTGGGACCAGGGGAAAAAAGCAGAACAAATCAAAAGAAAGGATATTGGAAAAGTCTACCATTTCAAATGTTCCTGTGTCTACATGTTGACCTCATCCAAGTGCACTGACAGCAGCGTACCTTTCATGATTCCTCTTGGATGGCTAATATCTGCAGATTAATCACACAGTTGCTGACTCTTCTCTTCAGTTATGATGATCCTTTAAGAAGTACCCATGCAAGTGCCATTTGTAAAGCATGCTCATGTTTTCCTTCTCTGTTGTCCGGGAAAGATGATTTGTGAAGACCCAAAGCTCAGGAAAACGTGGCTTCTGATGATGAGCTTCATTATCAGAACTCCATAGGTACAGCCTGTTTCATATGTACATCTTCCTTGCTTCCTGATTTTTTCTGGCAAGGAGGAAAGGCAATGACCTATGTGACGACCTTTGCATCCTCACAGAGGTAGATTCTCAAGTTTGAGCTTGATTTCTGAAGACTTCACAGAAACATCTATGTCATGTTCTGGGCAGCAGAATGTGAGTGGCTTGCCACTGCCTTCTTCCAAAACGTCTAATCAAATTCTCTACCTAGCCTCCAGCCCTAGTAATCTCTCAAGGTCACCCCTCCAAGAAGGCACCAGATTTGATCCAGCTTAGGTTCTAAAGCTAAATAGACAAATTATCTCCATCTCCTGACTAAACCTCCCCTGAAAAACCATCCCTTGGTTTCCAATACTATTGATAGGACTAATATCTAAAACTGTAGACTTCTCTGGAATTATTTATTATCTCTCCTGTTTCTAATTATTTGTTAAACAGATAAAATACTAGCTATATTGTAACCATCTTTCAATATTTTTCTATTCTTAACATACAGTGAGGTCAATAATTGTGTTTACAAAAGATAGGAATTGGGAAAGGCTCTAGCAGAAGAGAACAAAGGAGATGATTACAAAAGTCAGACCTCAAAATGTTAATCAGATTCAAAAACATAAAACATGACAACTTAATGGTGTTTGATTAAAATGGGGAGGGGAATTAAAAGTTCTAAGCATCTGACATTGAATCCTAATACTTTTTTTAATTATAAAATATAAAATGCCTGGAATTTTATCCAGAAAAAAAAATTAGACTTGGTAATTTATTTTTCTTGTGTATACAGTACAATTTGCTGATGAAAAAATGTGCTAAACTTATTGATTCATGACCATAATTGTTTAATTATTTATCATTGCAGAAATATATTAGCATTTATAATAATGCAGATGTGCACAAAGGCTAAAGAAGGCATATACAGCTTTTGTTTTCTGTTTGCTGTGCTGAAATTGGGTTGAGCTGGGCGGTACATGCACATTGCCTTATTTTAAGTGTTGCAGTTTTGCAGATTTCTGCTTTATTGGACTTGAAGCAGATATGCCAATAAGCTGTCATCACAAAAATGCTCTCCTATCGAATAAAAAAAAAAATCTATAACCAAAGCCAGCACTATCTCCAAAGAAATCTTTCCGGCAATTGATTTCTTTGTTATGATGGGCATTAAATTCTCCCTGCATCACATGTACAGCAGTTGGCTTCCTCATGCCACCCACAGCAAAGAAAGAGACCTTATATGCATTGGGTAATAATTACATCACCACAAATAATTACACTTAGTTGCAGAACATTTCAGCTTCATGTTTCTTGAAGTCATACATGAAAACCTGAAAGGAAAAGCAGACATTCATCTCAGGGTCAAATCTACTTTCATAAGCTGTGGCCAAATCAGGCAGAACCTTTTCTCTGGTCCATGTCTACATGATTGGGGGCTAAGAAATATCCCTTTCTCAAATGCTGCTACAATAGCTTTGCAACAGACTTCAGAACACCAACTATTGCTTTCCATCCTTCTCTTCTCAACTAGATTTTGAGATTTGGCCCTCCTCCTTTGCAAATAATGCATACAACAGTATCTACCAGCAGCACCTTTTTATTATTAGAGTCTGTAGCAAAGTATCTATAACTCTGCATTAGCAGATCACAGCAGTTTTCTGAAAAAGGCAACATTCAGAAAAAAAAGTTTCTTTCTATGCTTAATTGACTTGTTCTGCATTCTGTGCTCAAGGTAGTGCAGATCCCATTCCCCCCACCCCATGACTGGGAGATCCACTTGTTTCATGTATGTGCATAGGTGGGCATACAGACACATATTTCTCATAGGAACCGTTCATGCAGATTCTTTAAGAAAAAGAAGCATGAAAGATCCTTTCACATGAACAGACTCTAGATGGGAAAGACTATGATGACAAATGTATTAACATTAGTCACATGTATATCATTTCCCAGAAACCTCTGGTCAATGCACATAGATTTTCAAAATACCTGACCATCTGGACAGCAACCAAAGATAGAATCTTATATGAACCAGGGATGAAAGTTCATGTCTGACATTTTCCAACAGACTCAAAAATGGCAGGACCAGATGCTTGATGCTGATTGTACAAGTTCCACTTTAGGAATTCTAACTATACTTCAATTATTAAGGATTAAACAGACCAATATCTTAGTCCAGTTTTTGCTAGGCTATATGATTTCTAACTGCAGGTGGCAAGCAAATGTACGTTCATTTATGCTCCATTCCCATATATGAAAATAATTTCCTTGTATACACAAAAATATATAGTCATAAAAGCACTATCCAAGAACTCTATCCTAATAATATCTTTTTGATGCATAACATGTATGGAGGAAGCATAGATATGTTCCAAAATGGAATAAATTCTTTCTTTCTCTACTAAAATATCTAATGTATGAGCTTTGGATGGTGAATTCTTCAATGTAAGTTTTGCAACATGTTACATTTTGCAGCTAGTGTGCATATTCTGAATCTACCTGATTTTTTAGAGTACAAAGCATTATGGAAAGACATCCACGAGTCAGGAAGCCAACCTTGGACACAGGCCATTTTCCATGGGCTTATCACCATTCTCAGAACTGACTAATATGAGTGTCACAGCACTTCATAATGGAGAATACGGTTGAGCCATCTGGATTGTTTTGCTAAATTATTCCCCAAATCAGGCAAAGAGGCATGAAAGCTTCACTTATTGATGGGATGCTATAATCAGGGAAGATCTGTTAAGAAGATGGTGTGCAGTATACAGATGAATTACACATTAGTAATATTGTCTTACAGTTGCAGATAAAAACAACTCATGGATTGGAAAATCTGTGACAAAGTTTATATGATTACTGTTTTTCCCAGCATACTACACACTAAACGCAATTCTTCTGCATTCTTCTTTTTCAAGCACGCACAGCCCTTGTAAGTATTAAATTTATATCCTGCCTTTTCCTTAGAAGCTCAAAGAAATGCACATGATGATCTCTCCTCATTTTATGCCCACAACTCTGTGAAATAGGTTGGGCTGACTGATAGCAATCAGATGGAAATCACCCAGTCAACTATCAAGTGGTACTTGAGTCTCTAATACTAATCCAACATTTTAACTGATATACTGTCTTGGCTCTACTTTCCTAAAATATTCATATTCTGTATAGATTATGGATCAAATGTATAGATTCATGGAAGAATTTGAAGAAAAGCAGTGAAAGTGAAGACCAAATTCCAGCAAGGCTTTAAAGCAGGGGTGACCAAGAAAAGAAATTCAGGACAATGATGGATGGATCACAGCAGGGTAGAAATGTGGTAATAATAGTGCTCCAATTATCTCCTGAGCTACTCACCAAGGCAGGTAGCTACTAAACCAATTTTAGACCAAATTAAATTCAAAAATAGAACTACAGTGTAGGGTTGGACAATCTTGTGAATTTACTTATATTATTAATCTTTTCCTTCATTATTTTGCTGTTTGCTGTCCAGAACTCTTCATGTTTGGGGTGGGTTATAAACACTGGTTGGTAAATCAATCAATCAATCAATAAATAAAATAATATAATCTGAGCTACACTCATCTTTTTTCTAGTACACATGCAACTTGTAGGAGGGGAAAAAGGTAAATGGTAATATTATGAATACTATGCCAAACGTTAGCTTGTGACACTTAAGATTAAGGAGATATTTTGGAATATGATTGCACTAGTTGGTTGTATTTGGTTAATAAGAAAGTTTTCAGAGAGCCCATTCCATACGTTTAGCCACATAATATAAGATGCTTAAGAAAAAGTGAAATTGCTTTGGAATTTTGCAATGTGAAAATTAAAGCAAAAATAAGGTATATAGAGAAGATCTATTGGACTAAGTTCATAATGTGATAAATATTGGAATAAAGTATTTCCTGGTCAGTTGTTTCTTCAACAATAGCCAAACAGTCTCAAAATCCAGAATTTGCTAATTTAGGATATTGTTTTATGACTCAGTATTAGCTCCCCCCTCCCCCTCCAAAAAACCAATGAAAGCTACTGGGCCAATTTATATGCTAGCTTTCATAACATGAGGTTGCCCAAGCAAAAGTCTGTGAAATGGACCTGGAAAATCCCAAAGTTCTGTTTCCAGCATTAGCAAATTAGCTGGGAATAGAAAAGACCTGAAACATGGACAGCCACCATGAGCATAC